ATCTATCTATCTATCTATCTATCTATCTATCTATCTATCTATCTATCCATTTATGTTTGTGGTTGAGGCAGAATCCACTGCAATGCCAGTGGATTCTGCTGAAATGTGCACATACTGGGTCAGACTGGGCAGACACAATTCAGCATGACACATTTGACAAGAGCTGCTCTGACTTTGCGATCATCCGTCTAAAACAGCTTTGCTCAGCAAAAAGTTCACTGAAAAATATAAACGCTGCTCATGCATGAACTAATTCAAACAAATTCATGTTGATACTAAATGTTGTTGATTGCTAATATTAAAAAAAGATGTACAAAAATGACAAATATAACTCAGGTTTATTTCCCCTGTAAAATATACATTCTACGTGTTAGTGAAATTTGGTCATCTGTTGGCCCACCCTGAATTAGGCTCATCTCTATCCTCTTGAAAAAACTCTAATTCAAGTGCCTCATCTCTTCATTCTAAATACCTCCTTGATACTTAAAGACATGGCCGAGGAAATGTGGGAAAAGACAGAGGTCTTTTATGTTCCACGGGCAGCAGCCCTGAAGCCATGTGCATTGCATGTTGACTTTTACATGTGCATTCATGTGAACTCACCCCCTGGGAGAAGTAAAAGGCTGCGATCCCCAGTGGCCAGAAACAGCAGAGCATGGAGAATATGGCCAGGCCGAGGTGGTCTCGTGGAGGGACAACTATGAAGTTATCTTCACTCTCACTGTCGCTGGAGCAGTCCGTCTGCACAGACAAGATCACAACACGATGAAGGAGCATTTGTTTGATGATAAAAATAAAAATAAAGGAATTAACTACAAGATTTTAAAAAATCACAGAGAGATCACATAGAAGAGATGTTTGATGATTAAAAAAAAAGGAATTAACAAAAAGATTTGTAAAAATCACAGAAAGATCACATAGGAGAGATGTTGAATAAATTATATATCTGGACTGAAATATTAAAGTTAGGTTGATGTAAAGAACAGAAACGGGGTAACGGTTTGCTCACAGGGCCAACTGCAACTTTAACTGCTTACAAACTCCTCTAAAGTTCACACGTGTACTGCACTGCACTACTGGGTATATATGTTGAATTATTAGATAACTGACTCTCAGAGAACCTACCTTGGAGCCTAACTCAGGTGACATTGGGTGAGAGGCTGGGTACACCCTGGACAGACACATTTAATTGCTGGCTGGCTGGTCGGGGAAAGAAATGATCTCATTTATGTAATGGAAAACAAAACATGTCGCCATATTCAAGATAATTTGCTCCCCTGAAATGTCACTGCTCATACTTTTTTTGACGGCTCATTCGTTTTTCATTAGTTGTGATATGAAAATACCTACATTTTGGTGCCTAAACAACAGATGGTATAAAAAAATAAGCAACCCCCATTTCAGATGGAAATGGATATGAATCAAACACAACTCCACCCTAAAGCTTTATGAAACTATTTCACGCTCCATGCGGTATTCCTCACATTACACTAGAAATGCCTTCAGCAAACGAGAAAGGACGAACACGCATTTGCAGTCTGTTAATGTGTCTGATTTTTATTCCTGATTGAAAGCAGAAAATAGCTGAATCCGTCACCATCATCTACTGCACAAACACATCAGTACCATTACAAAGGCAAGTAAGAAACCAGAGATTTATTTTTCAAGGCTCTGCAATGAAAAGAAATAGCAGATTGAGGTCACTGTTTCTATATGAGACACTGAGCTGCATCCTTCCCACATTATCCTGTTTGGAGGATGATCCTGCAGGAGGATAGAACATAGAAGACCATTCTGACAGAGAAATAGATTTCAATATCGTATTTACTATTTGAATCAGACATATGAGACAAACAGTAGGACAAAAGAAGATTTTAACACTTGAAGCAATTGTTTCCAGTCTATAGTCACATGGAAGAAATGTAACACAAAATTAATTTGTGAACCAGAGAAGGGTGATGTAAAGACAAATTTAGTCTGCAGTCAATCATGGTGCGTTGTCATGTTGTAAGTGGCCTTTTGACATTTTAGGGGTCACTGTAAAACTTGCAACATGCTCTTTGAAGAAGGTCAAGCATAAGTTTAACTTAGAAACTTTGCCAACAGATGACAAAAAATCCGACACTGCCCCTTCAAGTGAGCAGCAAGTCACTTTCAAAAAGCCCATTTCAAGACGGACTCTCTGCTGGCCTGTGTGTAAACAGAGGCACAATGGATGTGTGTGAAATGATTGAGTGGAGAATATACCCTTAATCTGGGCGTATTTACAAGAATAACCTGCCTTCCCCAACACACTGCTGTTACTGAGCTGAATCAGAGTTCTGCACGAAAGCAAAGTGGCATTGACCTTCATGTGTTTGGTCTTGTTAAACTTACTTACTTCATGTTAAAAACTGCCTTTTCTTGTTATTTCTCTATGTAAGGCAGTGAGTTCTGGTGATATTTGCATTATATGAAAAGGGAAATAGCTTCAAATTGCAATGTGCAGTAAACACCATCATGTAAATGAAATGCAATACTTGCAGAAAATATGGGTGTTGGCAATGGATGGTTTACATGCCCAATCGATGGTGGAAACCCTGGGTCAAACCTAAAAAATATGTCAGAAACAAACAATTACATTGAAAACAAACCTAATGGAGCAAACACAACCTTTCAGACATGAGGGGCTTCAGACAAAGCCTCATTGTGTTGTCAGGCTGTGCCCACAAAACCATATAAAGACCAACCATATAAGGCACCCATTGTGGTGATCAATACATCTTCATTCTGTCCGTATTGAAATGCTGAAGCAAAAAAGGTCATAATGTTTGAGCATGATGCACCTCACATGGTGAACAATGTCCCTCTGCGTTTGTGGCCTTCAGCCACAGCTGTGGCACAATTTCCACAGAGCCACAGCTGCTCTGAGCGGTGCCTCTGAACTCACTGCACAGGCTCATTTTGTAGTAATACCGTTGTTTTGGGACACCGAGGACAGAGAAAATTAAGAACCAGAAAAAGGTTAGCAAGGTAAGTACTAAGTTTGGCTGACTGTTCGCAATGGTCATTAATCATAAACTTTTCACAGGAAAGCAGGCCACCGGCTATCTCATGAACCAATTATCAAGTTGCAATGACATGATTATCTTTTCTTCTCCTCAAATTTTTGTCAGCCACGAAATTAAATCAATCTCTCAGCGATCAGTGGAAGAATGAAGGTACGGGTCATAACCCTCTCGGATTTGAAATGAAGTTGAAGTTTCTTCAGTGCAAACAGAATTTAGTTTTTTACTTTCCTAACTTTTAATGAGCTTACAGTGTGTGTGGTGGTGCCTTATCAATCGTTCGCCTCCACTACAGCGGCACGTCCTATTGACTGGTCATGCAGACCCTGCGATCTGTTCTCTGAGATGCCCTATGGGGTAAATTACACCAACATTAGACAACTAGCTGACAAATGGAAAATAGCTAATTGCTGGTTTCACCACACGGCTCTACTGACTGCAGGGTTTGTATGAGCTGCACAACAGGGAAAAAGGCTATGGACCACTTTTTTGTGTTGAATAAACTGAACTATTAATCTTTAATCCCTCATTTTGGAAGGCTTTGTGGCAAGCAAATATGGAGCTATGTGTTTGTACGTTGAGGCAGGAAATCATATGATGATGAGACACAAGTGAGCCTTGATTTTGACATGTAATTTAGATTCCACATAAATATATAATCTTATGTAGTTTTCTTTCTCAAGTGGATGCCAATCAAGTAAACCTGAATGTCAGAGAATTCACCATGATTTATTTATTTTCTTCAATGAAAGGAAATTCCATGAAAATCCACATTTTAAACATATTTACATTCAACTGACAAATTTAACTTAAAAATTGAAACTGCACAATTCAATTAAACTGATTTAAATGAATGCTGTCTTTTTAACCTTTCTATGACATGGAAGCCCCGAAGGCTGAGATTACACTCAAATTAATTGTTGTATTGTGCGACCAAACAAAGGAGAAACATGCAGGGAGGCCTGGAAGCAAAGAGACACTTTACAACCAAAGGGGATGTAATTTCTTGGCTGGATGCATAAACAAACTTAATAAGAAAATCCCATTAAAGATGCGAAGGAACACTAAATGAAATTTGCCACACATCTACTGTACATTCCTAAGAAAGAGCATCCATTCATGTGACTTGAGAGGAAGTATGAATATTACCATATCTCAGGTCATAGTTTCTGGCACCTGACATTCATAAACATACTTTATATTTTAATAGAAAATAGGCAGAAACCATGAGGATCTGTTATCCTTTAATGGTCCCCATTTCCGTTTATTGCTTTATCTCCACAGTTGATTGCCCAAGTTCATTGAGCATAGAGGTTAACATTAGGTCACCCATTCAGCCTAACTTTGGTGTGCCAATCAAAGTCACAGCTGGTGAAAACTCATACTGCACTGGCACAAAGTTCCCAGAACCCTGTGCTTTGCAAATGTACTGGGCTCAGCAGAACTGTGGAGCTCAGCACCAATAGGTACCCCAGAGGAATACCTGGTCACCGAGTGTGTGATCACAGCAGCAAGATCTCCGTCGTCCTCTCAAACATGTTTTTGGGGGACAGGCTACCTGCGGAGAATTAATGGACAAACTATTCATTTTTCTTTGCAACGCCTCATCATCTCTCCTTGACAGGTGTGCAATTTAGGTTTGGGTAATGAGGCTACAACAGGGAACCGCACTTAGTATTCAAGACGTGCTGTGTAAATAGGCTGGAAATGCACAAGCAAAATTGGGTTGTGGAGCAAAAATAAATTAATAAATAACTCAGTGATTAAATATGACAAAAAATAAGAAGGGACTGTTGAAACCTGAATGCCTCTTGTATTTTTAGAAATGCACTTTTTAGGATGCTCCTGCAACCTTGGAGCTCCATTAGGGACCTCTGCAACACACTGTATCTCTCTTTGCTTCTTTCCTTTCCCTTCTCCATTATCAAATAAAGAAATAAAATGCTATAAAAATGCCCTCCTGCATAAAACACATAACAAAAGGGGACATTTTCATCATCCACCTATTGCTGAGATCATCAGGTAGAGGCTACAAAACAAAAAGAAAAAGTAAAATAATACTAATCTGTTTAATTAGTACATTCGTAGGTTAAATATATACCAGAATGGAGTAAATTAAAACACTTGAACCAGTAGTAGCAGTGAATATATGACTGTAAATATCTAAATATAAACCACTATTTAGACACACAGATGCAACCGCTAAGTTAAGAGAGACAGTTTAACAGTAAAATTTAGCTGGCACTTGATTCGGTTGCGCACAGACTGCACATCCACAGGAAGTATCAGAACAGAGCCTCAAAGTAAGCTGGGACAGAGTAAATATGAACGTCAACATCCCCAGTGTATTGTGATGGTCCACCAATTCATCCCCATCATAAAAAGCCAGATTTCCATGTTTATTTTTGTAGCAGAAAAAAATAATAAGAAGAAGACCTAAGTCCATCTCAATCCAACAGCCTGATCCTTATGAGTCTGTCTCTAAAAGAGAAACTGCTCAGATATGCAACATGTAATCATCCCTCCAAGGGCTGAAATTACTCAAAGCTCATTGCATTACAGACACATCTTTCTCATTATTCACTTTTTTAATACTCCGAGCTGCTATTCAGGGAAGGATTAAAGAAGCATCAGTTAGGTTTGGCACAGAGACTGTTTTTTTTCTCCTTCTGCAAAAACATTAAATCAAGAATGCAAATAATATTTGTTTCTTATTCTCTCATTCATAATCAAAATAGCTACACTGGGGTGACTAACAGTGAAGATGCTTAATGCTACTTAGAAACATGTCAAGGAGCGCTCACAGGAGTCCCTGACCCGAGTCAGGTGGGGAACATTGCCAGCTTTAGTTTTATGGTTAAAGAACTGCCATCTGTGTTGAAAGTGTGCTCTCCGCTGCGGTGAATCAGAGGATTTGTTCCGCATATTTTAGAATCAAACATGGTATTATTAGAAATTGAGCTAGTTATGAATAACTCTTCAATGGTGGATGAAGCCTTAAACAGTTCTCCCCTTCAAGAGCAAAAGAAGATGACTGTTATGGGTACGTTAGTGCACAAGGCCCTATTATCTTTGACGACATTATCTTCTCTCCCCATCCAATAATTAGTGTAAGAAACAACATTGAAGAAAGTTCTCACGCCAAAGCATGCAATGAGCATGGAGCATGCCTTTTCAGTCATTCAACCATATGAAAAATTACCCCATAGCATAGAATAAACAAGCCAAAATGTCCACTAACATAAAAGATACTTTATCAACTGTATCAGTTTAAGTACATTATTAATAATGTCTGTTTTGTAACTTTTTTTCTGTAACTACCTTGAATGCCCCATGTGACGCCTCCAAGATTAATTATTTGCCACGTTGCAACTTCTTGTCACGTGCGGAGCCGCAGGAATCCACAGAAAGGCAGACTTTGAAATAGATATCTTCAGTTGTAAGACCTGAAAACCCAGATTTAACCCCAGAGATCTTTTTGCCATTTGCTGCTGAATGAGCAGCGCCTGAATCTGTGAAAGAATTCGCTGCGAAGAACGACCCAATCTCACACTGGATGGACTTTTTCAGCAATGGGACGATTGGTGCGCAGCAGACCCGGGAGTGATTGCATTTTAAATTTAATGACAGAATAAGCACTGCCATTCTCTCACATTTAGAGGGAGCAGATAACCCTTCCAATCACATCAGCTCTGATCCCAAATGCTGCAGAGGGGAGGATAAGGACATTGATATCCATTTTCAAATCTTGCCCCTCTATTGATTTCCTGCACGGATGCCGATTATTTGAATATCCCAGCAATTTCTGAGCTAAAACATGACACACACACACACACACACACACACACACACACACACACACACACAGAGGCTAAGAGGTGGCTGCTTTATAGAAATATTGCTTGGGGGAACCACATGCTCAAATTAGTGTGGAAATATAGAATGTACCAATAAATGCAAATTTCTTGCACTGAGATGGGGTAACAGATGGCAGACAAATAGATATCCCTTGGCTCAAGTGTTAATTTTGTATGCAGGTGAAAATGCATGGACATTTCAATGGGCTGAATCCATGATAGCAAGATGAAAGACATCCAGGGTCGCTAGAGAGGGGGGCATTCAGCTGGAGGCTTTTACATTTTCATCATATCAAATCCCTGTTTTGCTGCTATTCCTGATGCATATCCACTCATACACTCACTCTATTCAGTAGTTTGCATTTTCACTGGTGGAGTTCCCTGCTCCTGTAAATGAAAAGTAATTATTTTTTAGAAAAGAAGATTATTTGGGCCACTATAGCACAAACAGCACAAGCTGCTTGAGTCATTTTTCTTTCTTTCCATTGTGTCGTGTTTCTGACAGAGCGTACATTTGCTGAAGCAAGTGACAAATGAATATGCCATTTGGAGATGTGGCTTGCATTATTAATACGGTTTTTGCATTTTTATGGGGACAAAATAGCTCCCAAAATCATTCTGAAGTGAAACATTAAACCGAAATAAGAACACCAAGACAATAAAAATTGGGCTAATGATGACAGTGTTTCTTACTGTAACAGGTACCTTTTTAAGTTTTAACTACATTTAGCTAGTGGGTCAACTTAATTTGATATCTTTTGATGTTCAGGCAATTATAGTGTTATCTGTTTCCTGGTCAGTTTACAACATTCTTACTTGAGGTTTTTAGTTTTAAATGAGATTTATTCTGAGACTTGAACTTTTTTTTTGGAATAACCAGACATACTAACAAAGTGTTAATAACAAATAATAACAAATAATAACCAAAAGTTTTGTCATGTGACACAAACAAAAATATATATTAAGAATGTTATACTTTGAAAAAATAAGAAGAAAGTTTTACAACTAACTCTTAGCTGGAAAGGGGACCTCAGAAAA